ATCCCAGAAAAAAGGTAATTGTACACTCTAATTGTAAAGGAAAATCTCAAACCCAATAGACAGAAACCCAGTAATTCTATCAGATCATTTTACATTAAGGTAAACATAAGTCAAAAGACAAAAATGCAGATTTTCCATTCTATTTGCTGATATCAAACCCTAAACAGACAATATTTGTCTATTTATTCATTCCCTTAAAAACTGTAGCTATTGCTTAGGTGGAGAAAGGACAGTTAGGGCATCAGGATTCTGCCAGTTTTCCATCAGTGAAAGCAAATGCTTCTGGTTGCGAAACCCATAGAGGATGCCAATTTAGAGGTGCTATTCAAATGTATAGCAATTTCTTCAACCACAGACAAGAAATTACAATTACTGATCAATTATATTTAGATAGTCTAATAATAACTCTACGGACGAGACTATTAAAAGAAGACAAAAGTAGTCTTTCAACATTTACTGGTCACCAACAGTTAAGATAAAAATTTCCGTTTAAAAAAACCACAAAGACCTTCTTATTGTTGCTTTACCAAAGAACAATCTAGTAATTCAAAGATGCCAGGTGTAGGCCTACAAATTCCACAAGATGAACAACGGTAAATGCAAATGCTTTGCCCTGTTTTATTTGGGGCCAAAAATACATCATTTTAAAGCAGTTTAAGTAACACAAAGAGTCCAATCTTAAATTCTAATTTTTAACAGCAGTCAGATGAATAAAAATGTATTTGTGGTCGGGGGTGGTGGCTCACGCCTGTAATCCCAGCACTTTGAGAGGCCAAGGCGGGCAAATCACAAGGTCAGGAGTTCAAGACCAGCCTGGTGAACATGGTGAAACCCCATCTCTACTAAAAATACAAAAATTAGCCAGGTGTGGTGGCGGATGCCTGTAATCCCAGCTATTCGGGAGGCTGAGGCAGGAGAATCACTCGAACCTGGGAGGCGGAGGATGCAGTGAGCCGAGACCTCGCCATTGCACTCCAGCCTGGGTGACAGAGTGAGACTCCGTCTCAAAAAAAAAAAAAGTTAATTGTAAAGTAAAACTAAAAAACTCTGAAATATCATGAAATTTAAATTCATCAGTGTTGATCCAGACAACGTGGAAAAGAGGAATTAAGGAAATCTAAAATCTGAAAAGGAGTCGGCTAGGTTTTATTAAACATCAATGGTACAGAACCCCTGGGATGAGGTGGGGTGGCTGAAACCACAATGAAATGTTAAAATCTAGTTTCAGCCGGTGAGGTGGCTCATGCCTATAATTCCTAGCACTTTGGGAGGCCGAGGTGGGTGGATCACCTGAGGTCAGGAGTTTCAGACCAGCCTGGCCAACATGGTGAAAGCTCGTCTCTACTAAAAATACAAAAATTAGCCAGGCACGGTGGCACATGCCTGTAATCTCAGCTACTCGGGAGGCTGAGGCAGGAGAATTGCTTGAACCCAGGAGAGAGAGGTTGCGGTGAGCCAAGATTGCGCCACTGCACTCCAGGCTGGGTGACAGAGTGAGACTCCGTCTCAAAAAAAAAAAATTGAGTTTCATGTATACAAACTATCTTTATTTTTAATGTTTACAGAACTGAAAACTTTTTGGATCTTTCATTTTACCTACTATTCTTCCATGATTAAAACTAAATTAACAAACGAAATAGAAAATGACTGGAGAATTTCAGACATCCAAAAATGATGTAAGACAAGTGATAATTAATTCAAAGAAGCCTCTTCATAACTACTTTTAACAGCAGCAGTGAGCTATTATAAATGATCAGAACCAGAATCATCAATTTTTAGTACTAGAAGAAACAGAAGAGATCTAAGATTTTAATCTTCTTATTCTACAGGGATGATGCTAAGGTCAAGGAGATAAAATGACTTTCCCAAAGTAGCAATGCTGGAGAGACCACTATAAAGCTTAGAAATCCTAGTTCTCATAGTCCATAGGTTCTTCTACTACCCCGTCATAAACCTTTTAGAAAATAGGCAATGCTTCACCCTCCCATGGGAAAGATCATATGGTTTTCTCATGTCCTAGCACAATGCCTCACACACTGTAGATAATAGTTTGTTCATTCCTATACCAAAACTTCCTTTAAAGCTAATTTGACATCCTAGTAAAAATATCTTCGCCCTGGCACGGTGGCTCACACCTGTAACCCCAGCACTTTGGGAGGCTGAGGTGGGCAGATCACCTGAGGTCAGGAGTTCAAGACCAGCCTGGCCAACATAGTGAAACCCCATCTCTACTAAACATACAAAAATTAGCTGGGCATGGTGGCGCACACCTGTAGTCCCAGCTATTCCAGAGGCTGAGGTACGAGAATTGCTTGAACCCAGGAGGCGGAGGTTGTAGTGAGCTGAGATCACGCCACTGCACTCAAGCCTGGGCAACAAAGTGAGACTCCGCCTCAAAAAAAAAAACAACATGAATAGTATGAGATGGAAATGACTTGCATACGTATTTAAGTGTATACACTTGGATACAACTGGAAGTTACTTGACCAACTGTATATACATATTTATAAAACTGGGAGATATTTGACCAAACGTTTCTCTGACCTCGACTTACTCTGGTACTACCACTGAACAACTCCAGACCCAGATAAAATCCACCACACCCAATCCCAGTAGTGTCAAATGCAGCCAGGCTAATTCTCTGCACAGCTGTCAGATACCAAAAGGATTTAACAATCAGTTCACCAAAACCATACAAAGCTGTTCACTAAATACTCCAATGCTTGGACTAACATCAGAGAAACTATGTCATGCATATTAGGCTTGGTCTTGTACATTTCCAGGTGAAATGGAAAAACTGAATTTAAGATGCTTCCAATCAAAAAGTTTAAGAAGTCACTCCCATTTTTTTGGTGTGTGTGTGTAGGGCCTGGACCTGGGGCAGAGGGCTGTGTGCAACCAAGCCTGGTGAGCATTACTGTGGCTGCTACTCTTCTGCAACAAGAGGGGACAGTGCAGTGCAGAGCGTTTTCTGAGAAAGGCCAAGGGGTCCGGAGTGTAAAAGGACACCTCGGGGCTGGGGCATGGCAGGGGAGGTTCCCGGGTCGCTGAGCGCTTGCAGTCAAGGGTGCTTCCGGGCCGCTGAGAGAGAACGAGCCTTGGGAGCTTGATAGTTCTGCTTACAATTCAGAGGCTGTAAAACAAATGCCACTGAACACCATTTCACTCTTCAGAACCTGTGTAGTCTTTCTTTTTCTATGTACAAAGCCATCTAATCGGTTTTTGGGGGGTTTTTTCCTGCTTTTGTCAACAACCGTCACTGTAGTTGCCCACTTACCCCCAGCAAAAACACACTCTAAAAGGGGGAGTGGCTCGTTATTAAAAGGCTCTTACCGATTAAGTTGTAGGCTTTGGGAATCACAGAAACAGTTCGTATCACGATACGCCAATTGTTAATGGAATTTAGCTTCCTTCACTTATTAAACACAATCATCACATTTGCAAATGCCCCACTCCCATCTACAACACTAGGAATAAATGCTGTGTCACTGAGAAGAAAAGCAAAAGATTTCTCTGAAACCAAAAGGAAACTGTCAAAGAATGCCAGTAACCTGTCATCGGGCTACTCCTGTGCCCTCCACTGGCAGGCAGAAATGAGTCTCCCTAAACCCATGTGCTGCGCTGCCGCTTGGCAGCTTCCGTCTGATGGGAAGCCCCCTCACTGACACAGCCCGCCAAGGAAAAGGTGTACCCGCGTTTCCACCTCTACGGCCTGGGGCTACTTCTCACCATGTCCAAGTGAGCACCGGGACCTTCAGGGTGTCCGCTGCCCGGGGCCGGACTGGCCCTGCCCTCCGGGGTCTTCCGTTCGCTGTTGCGCTTCAGGCCGCTGGCGTCGCCCCGGCCTCTGGACTCCCGGCGCCGTTGCTGCCGACTCCACAGGTATATGGCACCCGCGCCTAGCAGCAGGGGTGCCCCGACCGCCAGAGCCAGCTGCCATCGCGGCAGCCCCCCCGTGCCCGGGCCCGCAGTCCCGCCGCCGCCCACCCCACTCCCGGAGCTTGGTGCAGCTGCTGCGACCACCGCCGCCTCCACAGGCTTAGAGGCGGCCATGACGAGTGTCCTCTGCCACCGCCTCCCTGCCTGTCGCGAGCGCCACAATCACCAAGCAGCGTGCGAAGGAAGACCGAAGGAGGGAAGGAAGGCAATGAGCGAGCGAGCACGCTAGGCAGAGAGAGCGGACGACAGAAAAGGGCCAGAGGTCACCGGAAGCCCAGGGCATGCCGGGCCAGACCTGGCCGTCCTTCTCCTCCAGTCTCAACCGTAGAGGGAGAGGAGGGGCGGAAATCACTTCCGGGTTAAGGGAAAGCGTGGGTGTGAGTGGAAGTCCTCGGAAACCGTTTTTCTTTCTTTTCGCCCCGCTGCTTTTCGAGAGATTGACTTCTGGAGTCCCGTCGTAGCTGGTGTTGTCCCCTTTACTTTCAGGAGAGAAGGGCAGATGGCCCTCTTGCCTACTGAAGCCGAGGAGGGGCGCGTATACAGCTGGCTAGCGGCACTGAAGAGATCAGAGCGGAGGAAAAAGCCGTGCCGTAGCACTGGAATGGGCGGGAGTGGCAGAAGAGTTGTGAAGGCTATTGGCTGGCAAGGGTGGTGGGCGGGGCGTAGAGCTAGCTACCCAGTTTACTGGTTGATTTCGGATCCAGTTTTCCCGTTATAGCCACGTTGGCACCTCTTGAATCTCTGTGGCCGTTAGCTCGGTTTTCTGCCCGCGTGCCCGGGAAACCAACGGATTGGAAGGACTTTTAAAGATGTATGAGGAAAGAGCTCACTGCTCAAGAAGGCTGCTGCATCACTGAACTTCCTACCACTAACACAGCCAGATTTTAGTTTGGACGAATTTGAGGTTATAGGGGAGGTTAGCGATGGCAGAAGACTAGGTGGAAATGGCACTTCTAGGTTGGCTGCAGTCGAAACGGTTTGAGCGTGGTCGCTGTGGCTTATCGTCGCCACCAGTTACGAAAGCGATGACTTCTACGTTGTTATTCTTAAACTGAGTTGGTAGAAATGCGAAGCGTCAGGGTTCCCGCCGGCTTCGAGCCTTTCTTGACGTGTTTGTATCTTGAGCTGATTTCTACGTGACACACCAGCCCACATCTCGCTCAGGTCCGCACACCCCCCGGGTTGTTTTGCAATAGCTGTCTCAGCCCTCTTCTCCCCTCATTCCCAGATCGTAATTTCAATTCATAAACTTTCGTTTCTGTAATAGCTTTATCAACTCTTTTTCCGATGCTCTGCTCCAGATCTCTTAAAACATAAAATTACCTTGCAAGGCATTGTTTGGAATTCACGGTGTTTTCATGAAGAAAAGACAACTATTAATAGAAAATCAGAGTCCAGAACTATGGCGCTCCATTTCTGGTATACTGGTTTGCAGAAGCCTTACATTAAAATTTCATAAATGCTTGTTTTGCTTTCAAGTGCAACAACATCACAGTAGAGCTACAAAAAGATTGAAAGGAGATATTTTATCAAGTGGCACCAAAATGGATTGATTAAAATAGAATGGCCTGATTTGAAAGAATTTCAGGATCACCGGTTTCTCCTGCTTCATGTAAGTTCCTATTAGTAAATTGCCTTCGGGCAACAGAGTTTCTTAGCAACAGACTAAAAAAATGGGCTAAAAATAGGAATGGAATTGAGTTGATCGTTGCAGGCAATCGGCTTCTCTCCCCTCCTGATCCCCCAATCCCCAAAGGCAAAATTTCTTCCCCTTAGTATAAGCTCTGCCTTGCCTTTTTCAAAACAGAAGTTAGGATTTTTTGTTTTCTGAAATTTCAGTTTTTCTGTGGCCTGTCGGAGGATTGTAGAATGCTAACAATTACAAACTTGATAGGAACTAAAACATATTTAAAGGTTTTTTGTTTTTGTTTTTTTTTTGAAAAACCTTTTTCTTATTTATTGGAGTAAGCAATACGCTGTTATGGTTAAACTCCAAAAGTTACAGAGTTTACTGTGAAAAGTCTTCCTTCAATCCCTGTCCCCCGCTGCACAGTTCCCCTCTCCAAAGGGAATCGGTGTTATTTTCTCGAAACATAAAAATGTTTATCTGAAGGCCTCATTTTGTTTGGCTTTATTTTTAAGGTTGGCATTAGTAAACAAATCTGTTCTGGTTACTTTTATACTTTGATAAACATCTCATTTCCATTCCCTAGCCTATGCTGCTCTATTCTCTTCTCCTCCATTTCCTGATTGATGGTAGTGTAGAGCCACATTGAGAGTGTCGCTTACTGGCTTTGGGACCTTACTGATCTGCTGCATGTTTTTCTAATCTGTGAAATGGTGAAAACATCTACCTCTCAGGCCATAGATTTACTTAGATAATATTTAAAGTTCTTTTGATGTTTGTTACAAAGTAATAGATATTTGATGCTTAGTTCTCAGTTTTTCTAAATTTTAAAGTCAAGAAGTAATGGACTGCATTTCTAAAAAATTGAAGTTGTGTATATGTGAATATAGACTTTATCATTTTCTTGGTAGATTAGTGGAATTCAACTGAAGAAGCTTTCTTCACCTTTGATCTGTATCTTAGGAGGCAGTTGAATGAGATAGTCTAATGGACTAAGTTGTGGAAGACCTGAGTTATTTTTTGTTTTTTGTATTTTTTTTTGAGATGGAGTTTCTCTTTTGTTGCCCAGGCTGGAGTGCAGTGGCACCATCTCGGCTCACTGCAGCCTCCACCTCCAGGCTTCAAGCAGTTCTCCTGCCTCAGCCTCTAAGTAGCTGGGATTACAGGCCACTACCATGCTGGGCTAATTTTTTGTGTACTGGCCAAGCTGGTCTCGAACTCCTGAACTCAGGTGATCTACCCACCTCAGCCTCCCAAAGTGCTGGGATTACAGGCATAAGCCACCATGCCCTGCTGACCTGAGTTCTTATTCTAGATTTTAATACCACTGAGTAGTGTGTGTGACCCTGGGCAACTCTGCTTTCTTTATAATGTGAGGAGGGGTGGATTAGATTATTTTTAAGGCTCCTTATTGTTTTAAAATGATGCAGTCCTGTCCCTTCAATTGTCATTGCTACATGAAAAGCCTTTCAGATTGCTAGAGTTGGTAAATAGCTGGTTGACTGGTGTCCAAGCCTTCCAGCCAGTGCACAAATCTGCTTATATTAAGCACGTACATATAGAACAACTCTATTCTCTTTCAGCTGTCTGATGTTTTCATTCAATTTTTCCTTACTGAAAAATTACTGAAAAGAATTGTCTACATCTGTTACTTATTTGGCACCCATTTCATCCAAAATCTGTTGTAATTTAGTTTACAACTTTATAGTTAGTCTGAAAGTGCTTTAGAAGTCATAAAATCCTTTTTTTTTTTTTTTTTTTTTTGTGGGGGAGAGGTTGGCTGTCACCCACTTTTACTTCATACCACTGATTATTCTCTCCTTGAAATGTTTTTTCCCTTGGCTTTCAGGAGAATAGATTCTTCTGGTTCTTCTACACTCTGACCAAACTCTAGATCAGTGTTGTCCGTCACAGCTTTCTATGATGTTGGAAATATTTTATATTTATAATGTCCAATATGGTAGCCACTAGCCACATGTGGCTATTGAGCACTTGAAATGTAGTGTGACAAGGACTACAGTTTTCATTATTTAATTGACTTAAGTAGTATCATGTGGCTAAAGACTACCATATTGGACAGCACAGCTCTAGATATTCCTCAAGTGAAGAATTTAATAGAATATGTCTTCTTCTTTATTTTCAATCTCTCCATTAGTAACCAAAGTAAATCTCATTGCTTCAGTTACCATTTCTGTGCAGATAATCACAGTCTATATATCTTTTGGCATAGCTTCTCTTTTTACCTCTAGCCCTATGTTTCCTACTAATTACTCAGCAGTTTTTCTTGGATTCCTGACTTTTGTCAAAAATATAACTCATCATCTTCCCCCACCCATTCTTTCTCTGTGTTATCCTTTCTTCTTTTTCTTTTTCTTTTTTTTTTTTCAAGACGGAGTTTTGCTCTGTCGCCCAGGCTGGAGTGCAGTGGCGTGATCTCGGCTCACTGCAACCTCTGCCTCCTGGGTTCAAGTGATTCTCCTGTCTCAGCCTCCTGAGTAGCTGGGACTACTGGTGCCCGCCACCAGACCCGGCTAATTTTTTGTATTTTTAGTAGAGATGGGGCTTCACCATGTTAGCCAGGGTGGTCTTGATCTCCTGACCTGGTGATCCACCCACCTCGGCCTCTCAAAGTGCTGGGATTACAGGCATGAGCCACTGTGCCCAGCCTGTGTTATCCATTTTTTCTAATAATACCACTATTACCTGAGCAGTTACTCGTATTTGAAACCATAGACCTTTATAGACCTCTCTCTTTTTCAACCTTACCTACCCAAGCACAAATGATTATGCTGTTGTATTTATATACACACATAAACACAAAATCAGCTGTTAAGTCTTCAACAAATTCAACTTTGTTGTAGTATCTTTCTATAGTTTTCTTTTCACATCTTCAGACACTTCTTAGTTCGTATAAGTGAAAACTCCTGGCCGGGCGCGGTGGCTCAAGCCTGTAATCCCAGCACTTTGGGAGGCCGAGACGGGCGGATCATGAGGTCAGGAGATCGAGACCATCCTGGCTAATACAGTGAAACCCTGTCTCTACTAAAAAATACAAAAAACTAGCCGCGCGAGGTGGCGGGCGCCTGTAGTCCCAGCTACTTGGGAGGCTGAGGCAGGAGAATGGCGTAAATCCAGGAGGCGGAGCTTGCAGTGAGCCAAGATCCGGCCACTGCACTCCAGCATGGGCGACAGAGCGAGACTCCGCCTCAAAAAAAAAAAAAAAAGAAAACTCCTAAGAGTACGTATAACACATAACAGATGCTCTATAAATAGTTTCTTCCCATCTTACTCAGTTCAGGCTGCTATAACAAAAATACCATACAACTACTTAGCTAATAAACTATAGAAATTTATTTCTCACAATTCCTGAGGATGGGAGTTAGAGATCAGTGTGCCAGCATGGTCAAGTTCTGTAAGAGCCCTCTTCTGGGTTGACGACTGCAAATTTGGTTTGTGTCCTCAAATATTGGAAAGGGGCAAGAAAGTTCTCTGGAGTCTGTTTTATAGGGGCACTTAGGCACTCATCCCATTTTTAAGGGCTCCACCTTCATAATCTAATCACTTCCCAAAGGCCTCAACACCTAATACTATCACATTCCCTTCTTTTTTCTCTTTTATTCATTTCGTTCATCTTCCCTAAATCCTATATTTGCTTGCTTCCCAGGTAACTTCTCTGCCTCTAGTGCCTCTCTTCTATGTGTTACCCTGCACCTTGATATCAAATTGCTCTTCCTATAGCATAACTGTAATTTCACTCTTGAGCACAAAGACTTTTAAATCCTCTTCACTTTCACTATAAGGTTCGATGTTTCTGCCCACCCTTGCCTCCCTTCATACACCTCTTCACTTTCCTTGGTCTAAGATATTAGCACCTAGCACTATTAGAAATTACCTATGTGGGCTGAGTGCAGTGGCTTGTGCCTGTAATCCCAACACTTTGGGAGGCTGAGGCGGGCAGATCACCTGAGGTCAAGAGTTCAAGATCAGGCTGACCAACATGGTGAAACCCTGTCTCTACTAAAAACACAAAAATTAGCCAGGTGTGGTGGCGCACGCCTGTAATCCCAGCTACTCGGAAGACTGAGGCAGGAGAATCGCTTGAACCCAGGTGGCGGAGGTTGCAGTGAGCCGAGATCACCCCACTACACTCCAGCCTGCCAATAGAGCAAGACTGTCTAAAAAAAAACCTCTCATTTTGTACAGCCAGAGCCAGAACATAGGTGGTGTGATGGGTAACTTCACGTGTCAATTTGACTGGGCCATAGGATACCCACATAGTTGTTTAAACGTTATAAATGTGTCTGTGGTGGTGCTTTTGATTCCTTGATTTTTATTTTTTTATTTTTATTTTTTGAGACGGAGTCTTGCTCTTGTCACCCAGGCTGGAGTGCAATGGCATGATCTCAGCTCACTGCAACCTCCCCATCCCGGGTTCAAGCGATTCTCCTGCCTCAGCCTCCCAAGTAGGTGGAATGACAGGCGCCTGCCACCACGCCTGGCTAATTTTCGTATTTTTAGTGGAGGTGGGGTTTCGTCATGTTGGCCATGCTGGTCTTGAACTCCTGACGTCGTGATCCGCCTGCCTCGGCCTCCCAAAGTGCTGGGATTACAGGCATGAGCTACTGCATCTGGCTGATTTTTAATTTTAGTGTATAAAGGGGTGGCCTGCCCCTCCATAACTGTGGGCTTTTCTCATTAGGTGGAACGAGAGACTTGAGAAAAGCAATGAGACACAGAGACAAAGCATAGAGAAAGAAAAAGTGAACCCAGGGGACCAGCGCTCAGCATACAGAGGACCCACGCTGGCCTGCTCTCTGAGGTCCCTCAGGATTTATTGATCATTATCTTTACCATCTTAGAAAAGAGAAGTGGCAGGATAATAGGATCATAGTAGGGAGAAGGTCAGCAGTAAGACATATGAATAAAGATCTCTGTGACATGAATAAGTTTAAGGAAAAGTGCTGTGCCTTGATATGCATATGCAA